GGCATATTCCCCGCTGCAAGAGCAGAAGCGGCAGCCACACTCTGCGGCCACCGCGCCACCCAGTCAGCCTCACACAATATTCCTTCCTCTTTAATGCTGCACGCCAGTCACGCATTGCCGCTGTCTGCTGCTTCTCCCCACCCTCGCCTATCCCCGCTACTCATGTCGCTGCTCCACCCTGGCACTGCGCAGCTGCTGTGCCTCCCACTACCAGCACCGGCGTGCGAATTTGCCCTCCACCGCACCCAGACGCCCCCTACAGCGAGCCCTAAAGACTGCCGTGGTACCCCACGCACCCGCACAAACCCCCAAACGTTTCGCCATCGCCATCGCCCACGCCATGAAAAGAAAGTGAGCATAAATCAAAAAAAGTTTTTTTCAGACGGAAACACACACAAAAAAAAAGCAAAATGAACCCCCGCGATGCACGCCGCCTAATTGCCGCATCAAAGCAGCGCACACTCAATGAAATCCCAAACAAAAAAAGGAAGGCACAAATTTCCCCCTCATCTAACGTCACTCAGTTGGCTTAACGCCAACGCGACGGCCCATGCGTTGCTGTGGCTCAGTCTCTCCCCTCCATATTTCCCACAAGCACCGCGTGACACCCCAGCGTTCACAGAAACCCTTCAGGAGGGACAAACAATAAAACAACAATACCAACAAGTGAATGAATACATTTTTCTTCGTCTTCCTTCCCCGCTGGCGTCCTCGACTGCTGGTTTGATAATCGTCACGCCCCAACCATCTCGCCCCCTTTTTTGCTCCGGGCATCACCGCCAGAAACAGCCGCAGGGCGCCAGTGAAAATGACACGAGTGGCGCAGTCGAGGTGGGCAAGTGTCTTTTTCCTTCCGTTGAGGTCTGTTAGCTGCGCGTTCCGCAAAAGCGTCGATGCCTCGCAGGTGACCGGATGAGAAGAGCTTGCCTTGGCAGCCCCAACCATTTTATCCGCCGCGAGCAGCCAGCCGGCTCAGCACGTCACCCAGGCTGATCCAAATACTTATTTTCGCAGCGGCGTACTTCCTCTCCCGAAACTGCGTTTCGGCGTGATGCCAGTCCTGCAGCCACCCTCCAGAGACAAGAGACGCAGCACCGCACTCGCCAGCACCCCGTCTTCGCACCCCCCACGCAGAGACAGTGGCACTCGCGCACCGGCGCCGCCGTTTCGCGAGGGAAGGCGGAAAAAATGGTATGCATGAATTCCGCGTAGCAGTGCGGAACGCCCGCGCAGACGTCCTCCTCCGCCACCGCGTCTCACGCATCGAAGCTGATGCACGGTCAATCTCCAGTGCAGCAGGGAGAACGCAGCCCGCCACATCGCCGCAGAAAAAAAAACACACAAAAATAACGCTGTTGACGCCGCAGCAACACGAATAAAAATGAAAAGAGGGAAGAGAGAAAAAAAAAGCAAAGGCCACAAGACGAGCGCGCGGCTGCAGATGCCGCAGCCCCACACGTCAGCCCCCCCTCACTTTTCACCCATTTACGGAAGGGGCACAACGCAACCCATCACAGCGCACCCACACGCAGTGCCCTGCACCCGCAAAGTAAAGTAAAGAAGCCACAGTGCACTCTCCCTTCGTTTGTATCTCTGCTCTTTTCACAGCCACAGAAGGACACAGCAGCAGCAGCCTCCGCCGGACACCCCGTCACTCCCGTGCCATCGCTGCGGAAAACTAAAAGAATCCTCCTCGTGAAATACCGATGCCTCTAGCGGGAGAAGAAGAGGAAGAATGAAGGCATGTCAGCGGCACAGCCAGCAGCGGCAGCAAACAAAACACGAAGACACGCAACGACAGCGGTGAACACGGCGCAAACTACAAGTGAGCCGCAGTGATTCATCAAACCAAAAAAAAAAGTCGCCCTGCAGAAATATCAGCGAACAAGCGAAGATAAAAAAGAAATTACTGCGGTAGGTGTTTTTTCTTCACATGTCCAGAAGCACAATAGCACAGTGTGTGTATATATTTATCACCTGCAAGTAAAAAGAAAGATATTTCCTGATCGCACAGTCACACATCACACAGTTGCCCATCACAGTCTCCGCGGCCTTGCGTTTCGTTTGGGCGGTCCGCGCGACGCACAGCCACAAGGCCGGAACCACCTGTGTGGGCGGCAGCGGCAAACTCAAGAGGGAAGGGACGCCACAGATTGGGAATGTTCACAGAGTGGCAAAGCAAAAAGAATTAAAGAAAACATCCCGCAAAGCAAAGAATAAGATTGGGCCACAGGAACGACAAGCAAACTCAGTGCATACTATGTATGCGTCGTTCCTGTCAGGGTTTGTGTGTGTGGTTTACCCTCATCATTACCCAGCAGCACAGGCAACGGCAGCCACGAGCAGCAGCAGTAGCAGCAGTAGATGTGTGGACACAAACGGCGTGGTGGTTGCACTGTTGTCCGCGGTGCTTTCTGTGCCTTTCCCAGCGGGGGGGGCAGTGACATTGACAGCGGAGCCGGAGGCAGGGGCGGCGATGCCTGTCTCTGTTGTGGAAGCACCGTCCTTTGCATCAACTGATGCCGGAGTATCCTTTTTGCCTTTACGCGCTGTGACGGAGGAATCGGTCGTTGCCTTGGGCGTGGGGCCCTGAGAGACGGTGCTGGGGACCGCATTCTCACTGTCGAGGCTCTGTGCATCGCCGGAACTTGTCCCGTGTCTCTCTGTCGTGGACGGGTGCGGCACACCTTCGGTTTGTTCACCGCTGCCTCCCGCAGCGCTTGGGTTCTCACCCGTCACCACAGCGTGTTTGCCGCCGGCCTTTTTACTGGGAGGCGGTAACGAACAGACGCCCCCCTGTGCGTTTTGACCTCGATCTTTTCCGACGGTAGTAATATTCTTCCAAATGTGGTGGGGCTCGCTATCTTCATATGTCCAAAAATTCATTGTGAACGCCACGGTGCTGTTTGCATCCTTGCCTGCACAGCTGGCTTCACAGTTGTTAGATGCGTAGATTGAGCTGGCCGCAAAACACGGAAGAAGCGTGTGTGTATGATCGGCACAAAAGTGCACATCAGGGCCGTCAATGCAAAACCCCATTTCAATGTACTCAGTGACAAGCACCGGATCATCAGGCAAACCAACCTTATTACGCAACGATGAGCAATCCGTCCATGTATCACTGTCACCAGGAAAGCGAAAATTTGGTATGCCATCGGTGCCCCCACATGAAACCTCCAACGGCACCACCACATTACACTCCTTCGGCGGGTATTTTAAGCTTCCTTTCTTATCCGGCGTCGCCCCGCACACGGGGGAGCAGCCGAAGCCGCACAGAAACACAAGAACCGCCAGAGCACTTACCGCACGGCACCGCGCCGTCATCTCCATCGCCATAGGTAGAAGTATTGGTGGTGGTGGTAGAGTCGCTGGAGGCAGTAGGCTAGTCTACGAGGCGGCAAGGAAGAGAAAGGAGCAACGAGAGGGAGAAAGAGAGAGAGAGAGGCAAGAAGTGCATCAAACAGAAGGAAAAAAAAACACGGCAGCTAAGCCCACAGCAGCAACGCCGCCATGGCTGCTTGAATGCGCCCTCCTCCTCGCCGCCATCGCTTGCCGCGGCGGGGGTCGTTCGCACTGGGCCAAAAGGAGCTCGAAAACAACTCCAGGAACCCCGCATTCCCAATCCTGTCCGTGCGGTCCCCAAAGGCACGCGAGGAGTCGTAGTCTAAGAGCCATGCGCCCCAGCCGCGATAAGGAAACGCATGTCCTCAAATCCAAAGCGGCAAAAAGAGAAGGCAGTACCACACACTGCCCACAGCGCAGCAGAGCACACGCAACACACGCTTCGTCACACAAAACCAATCAAAAACAAATGGAATAAAAGGAAAACATATTATTTTTTTTAACGGGGTGGGGAAGAGCAGATGTTGGCAACCGTTGCAAAGCCGCTTCTCGCCACTCTTCCCATCTGCGCAACATCACACACACGAATCCAAAAGCAAAAGGAGACAAGAGAAAAGCAAAAGCAAAAAAAAAAAAAATAGAAAG